CACACACACACACACACACACACACACACACACACACACACACACACTGGTCTTCCTCACTCAGGATCTCATGAGAAGTTTCAAGTGTGCCAAGACATCCCAGAGAAAATCTCTCTCTCTCTCTCTCTCTCTCTCTCTCTCTCTCTCTCTCTCTTTCTCCCAGGGCTAACAGCAGAGTGAGAAGAGGCCAGGCCCCATATCAGATATAAGGGTAAAATTCCAGCTTAGGAATTCTTGATCAAGTGACCTTGGGCAGCTCCATGAAAGGCTCTGGACCTGAACTCCATCATTCTGAAGATGAGTCAGTGGTCCATTCTTCCATGTGTACAGGTTTGTAAGACATGGAACACTGGAGGAGAGTCGGACACAGACCACGGCATGCCAGTATATATACAGCATAGACAGTACTTCCTCAGATTTCCATTGGCCATGTTACAGCTCTCAATCCCAAAGCAAATGAGGGCAAGATAAATAAACATCTGCTCTGTGCAGTATAGGTGTGAAGGTGGGAAAGGCAGGATGGCCAGTATCTGACCCCAGAGTACCACAAAGACTTCATCTGCTGTGCTTGGCTGGGGTTGGTGATGCTGGTTGTCTCTGGAATCCTAAAAAAGGTGAGAAAATAAAAGAAGGAAAAAAAAGAAAAGAAGCCAGGAGATAAATCCTTTCATTTAGACAAAATGGCAAAAGCTGGAATAACTAAAGGCAGTCATGTGCACTGTGTCAGGCCTATGCTCCAATAAGGAGAACTGTTAACACTTTAATAGCTATGAAATGAATCACTCAATTAATTCTCCACATGCTGAAACAGGTAACAATACATTTATCTGCCAGAATTATACCCTCCATATCATATATTTCCACAACTGTTAGCAATTTCATTCAGCATAACAGGAAATCAGTTGCACCTCATGGATTCAGGGAAAGAAAGTGGCCTGAGGTCTGCTGCCAACAGCATAACTTGATGGAAGAGGTTTCATTGTTCTGCTCTGTTTTGGCTTTCTTTGGCTTTGCTTCCCCGCTTAATCACTTCCAATGCATGTACAGAGGGCTATAAGTCACTGGGTGAGGACAAACTAGACCTTCAGGATTCCTGTGCCAGCATTTTCAACATATAGCTGCAATTTCAGGGGTGGTAACTATGGAGCTGCACAGTGCTCCAGGGTAATGACGTTTCTAGAAAGGGGTCATCATCAGGGTCACTGAATCCACTCCCAGGCTCAGACTTTGTAGAAGGGCCCAAATGTCTCCCAGAGAGATTATTTGCAAACATCCTTGAAACTTCTTTGTGTCTGAATCCAAGATGCCAAACCTACTCTCATGAACTGTATGTAGCGAGCCCACAGCAGCCCCAATTCAGATTGTCCAAAACACTGCATACTGTGCTAAGAGTATCTCAGCAAACTGAAGAGGTTCATCTCTGACAGAAGAAAATTAACCCTGTTTAGGAGCAAAAAACAAGAACCTCTTCTGAAAACCAGGAGGGATTGTATCTACCCCAGAAACACAAAATTCTCAATGTGTTCTTTTTCATTTCCACACCCCCTTGAGAAGAAAACATTGAGGAGGCCTGAAATTCACCTGCTGAGCTTCACTGAGCTTCATTCATGTTTCAGTGAGTCTTAGTTACTTTTTTATTGCTATGATAAAATGCCACAACCAAGACAACTTGCAGAAAAAGAGTTACTGCAGGCTGAGCATTCCAGAGGGTGAGTCCATGACCGTCATGACCGGGAGCATGCCAGCAGCAGGCAGGCAGGCAGGCAGGCATGGTGCTGGAATAGTAGCTGAGAGCCTACATCCTGATCTACAAGACCAAGGCAAAAGAAACAGATAACTAGAAACCACGAAACTCATATCCCCAGTGGCACATTCCTCCAACAAGGCTACACCTCCCAATCCTTCCTAAACAATTCCACTACCTGGAGGCCAATATTCAAACACATGAGCCTATGGGAGTCGTTCTCAATTAAACCACCACAGCGTGTTATGGATGAGTCTTCTTAGTCTGAGTGATAGGGAGAACTAAATTATTCCCAATCAGCTTCATGACTGGAAAGCCCTGTATCTATGACTGAATCCTGTGTGAGATCACATCTATTTTTGAAATATACAGATGCTTTGCAGAGAAGCCAGTGAAGTAAGATGTAAATGCAATATGAAGACTTGACAGTAGCAGCTCACCGCAGGTTTCACCACCTTCATGAAGGCCCCTCTGACCAATGCTTCCTCTCGTTCCTGTCTGGTGACCTTTTGGGCATCCAGAAACTTCAAATTGGGCAGCTTGTGCAGAACAAAGTACCTGGGAGAAAAAGGCAGAAACAACTCAGGAAGACTGGTGTGGCAGCCTCAGGGATGTGAGTCATATGTTTGAACCTTGGGTGTCTATACCATCAGACTTTAAGGGTTTAGATATTCGCCATTCTCTTCCTCCTCCCCCCCAAAAACAGTTTTAACCCCCTCAGAGGAAATTTGAAGAGTTGCACTTTACACACAAAACAAAGCTTGAGTGACAATTACACTTCACTCAAGGGTAGATGTATACCTCATTAGAATCAGCTAGCCAGTAGGACCCTGTCAATGTAGCCCTTTCTTCCATTCTAGGAAATGGGTCATGCTTCAACATGGAAAGTTCTCAGCAAGACCAATCTAAACCTTGATCAGACATTCCATGTATGTAATTGCTGTTTCTGGGAGGCATCTGTATCATTCTCATCATTGATACAATAGATATGCAAATTGGAGCTCAGGCTGGAGGCCAGGATTTCCCAGGTAGAACCTTAAATGAGCCCTAATAAGCTGGATGGCTTAGGGGTAGAAGTAAGGCCTGCTTGTGGCTGAGAAATGCTTCACTCAGGACTTCAGGCAGTCTTAAGTACTTTCTGTCATCATTTTTGGGTAATTTCCAAAATGTAGCATGGAGATGATCTCTGTCTAGGATAAATAGGAGGCAGAGGTGGTTTCTAGGTTTGTTTATTTTTTTAATATCCCTAAATACCCAGTGGCCTTTATTCCCTTCAAAAGATCATTTGTGATCATTATAGACCATCACAGATAAGCCACTGGCTATGTGTGTGATGAATTAGCCTTCAACAGATGTGTATAAACAGTATTGGCAAGAAGATGCACTTGGCCAGTGTATATGTTTATAAATGTAGAAGTACATAGACACTGGACTGCATTTCTTTCTTGTCAGCAATAGTCATCAACTCAGTTACTTCCCATCAGGACCATATTCTCTATCAATCGAATGACCAGTTATCTAGATCCTCTTCTACTTTGGAAGAAGAGATGAACATTCAAAGTCGAGAGAAATGAACAACCTTCCAAAAAAAAAAAAAAAAAACCCTATCACTTTCTATGCCTACCTCCTTAGAATTCTCTCACCTTCCAAATCCTAATCTCAGAAAACATTCCTTCTCACATCTATCCTGTACTACTTTTTTCATTCTAAATGCTTCTAGAATACACTCTCAGCATCCAGTCCAACACAACCATTTTCTAGTTGTTTCCTTGTTGTTAAAGTAATGAATGTCCTTATCTAAGCTAAAACCTTCTCAAAGGTTCACCTTCATTATATCTTGGAAACTAAAGCAAGAATGGATTCAATAGCCTGTCCATTCATTTAGCCAACACAAACATTTCTTGAGTACCCACTTATGTGTCAGGATAGGGATAGAGACCTCTCCACTCTCAAGGGATTCTCACTGTAATGGAGGAATATGTATTGTTATGTATCCAACTAGAAATCAGTGATGCTAAGTTATCCATGGAGTGGTTATGAGAAAACAGAGAAAAACCGAGAACTAAAGGGAAAAGGAGGAATATGCCATCTCAAACAGGCTTCAAAGAAACAAATTCAAAAGCAACCCCCTCAAGATTTTATCAGTGTGGACACTACTCAGGCACGCTCTGTGCCTCCCTCCCTGCTTGAGCCTCAGGTTCCCAGAGCCTTCTCCCACATCCACAAGGTAACTTCATATCATCAAGTTACCTTTATAAGCTTATTTAGGTATAAGACCTGGCCATCACTCACAAACCAGAAAGATTTCAAATCATTTCAAAGGGCCCCCGGACTCTTAAAGTCAAAACACATTAAAATTATTTTACAATTAATTTCAATAAATTCAGTTATGAATTCATTTATTATTTCATGGGACTGAGCAAACACTTGGGCTTTGGACATAGGTCAAAGGCCAATATTCCAGGGCTATTTCTCTCCTTTCACTTTCCTAAGGTAGGGTCTCTCTTTTGATTTTGCAGTACTTCGTATTATAGGTTAGTTGGCCCTTGAGCTCTTGGCCTCCTGTCTCTGCCTTGCATCTCCCCATAGAAGTGTCTGAGATTACAGATCTGCACCATCTAAGTACCTGGGATGGAACTATGGCAATCAGGTTTGTGTGGGTCCCTCAAATTCCTTTATAGTCCACCCCAAGACCAGAGGTCCTGGAATATCCACCCTCCTGCCCATCTTTTCCTTCCTCCTTCCCTCCCTTCTCAGTTTATTACCTGTGTTCCTTTTCTCCCAAAGCCTCTCCTTAACCTCACCCTCAACCACCTCTGATCTTATCTAAAATGAGGCAAAGGGCTCAAGTGTTCTTTCATACCTTTTAGCAGAATTCCCACCGGCCTCAGACTGTCAGAGAAAACATCCATCTCCTGCTTATACTGACAAAGTCTTGATGACAACAGATTCTTTCAAATAAAGACATGCACAGACAGAAACAGTATGTCAGGAGTGACGCTCGAAAGAGGAAAGACACCCACTAAGTGTAGGGTGGGGAAAGATGAATATTCAGGTGAGGACAACATTGGGATTAGAAAATCAGCCAGTGTTTAATGCTGGAGTGAAAGATGCCTTCCCAGGGCTGCCAGGAAGCATGGTGACAACAGACCGTGCATTGTCATTTCGCCTCGCTTTGGATCACAGCTCTGAAATCAAAGAAGGAAGATGGAGAGGTGCCGGCTTTTAAGCTAGTTAAAAAATTTTTAGATGACAAAGAGCTGCTGTTTGGAGACGTTCTTCTTAGAGTCAGAGAAACAGCCTATGACAGAGTCTGCCAATCATCCCTAGACTCCCAATGACTTCATTTCAATCGTAAGGGCCACCACAAGTTCCCAGAGAGGTCTGAGGGACTCTAGAGTTGCCCAGTATGTTAGGATCAGAGTATGCACCTCCGCTGGATAACAAACCAGGACAGGCCACCCGAAAGACCAATTAAAGAGCCAAATTAATACTGAGAAGCAGAAAAGGGAGCTACGAATTGTTCCTTTTCCCAGTGTAGGTAGGAACTGAAACATTGGGAAAAGGAACAAGGAGGTCCAATGACCCCCCACCCCCAGGTCCATTTTCATGGTCCTTAAGAGGATGTTAGTTGTAACCAGAGGGCCAGAGGTATACATAGCCAAGCAGTCCTGATTGAAGGAGGGATCTGTCACTACTGTCGCAGCTCAGGTATCTCCAGCAATATGGGCTGACAAGCTCTGAATCTCTTCCAGGGAGACAGGCTTCCCCTATGCTTGGCACCAAGCTTCTAGGCTTTTTCTTCCTCTAGCATGAGATTCCTAAGGAAAGTCCAATTTCTTGGAGTCCAGAGACTGATGCGAGCCAAAGGGGAGGGCACAAATGACTCTCTTGAACATCTTCTCCAGGGGTCTGTAAGATGTTGGTGAGTTTGAGTTTGAACCTGTGGTTCGCAGTAGGAAGAGAGTCGTCCTCTGACTTCCACATATGCTCTGTAGTAAGCACGTACCTCTAACACGTATCATATACACATCTATACACACACACTAATAAAAAATGATTTTATTTTGTTTTAAATGGAGCTAGAGAAATAACTCTGTAGTTGTGGGCAGTTTGTGCTTTTCCAGAAGACTTAAGCTCAATCACCAGCATCCATGACAGGAAGCTCCGATAACTAACTGGGGCTCCTGGGGGTCTGACACTCTCCTCTCACCTCAGCGAGCGCCTACACATTTGTAATCACACATACACACAGGCACATAAACAAAAATTAATGGTCAAACTTTTTAAAAACAACTATCACCATCCCTGTCAGAATGACTACACTGTGGGGAACTTGTCTTCTATAATCCATTGCCTTTTTGGGAGTGTCATTATTATTTTTTTTTCCATTTAGTTACTATTCGGTGAGTAATGAGTGAGGAGCTACTACCTGAAAGGAGCAGTGTGAGGCCCTGTGGTGAGGAAATGCAGCGAAAGACCTCTGCTCTCAACGCTTTTTACGTTCTAGCGCAGGTTTAGATTCTAGTACAGTGGCTCCTGACTTTGAGCAGGCATCCTCACGACCCGCAGACTTGTTAAAGCACAGATGCAGATGCCAGCCCATCCCCAGAGCTCCTTACTGAGGCAATCTGGACTGAGGCCTGGAATTTATGTTTCTAATAAGTTCCCAGGTGATGCTGTCACTGCTGCCATCCTGCTGAGAACCAATGTCCTAGTGAAAACAACACCACAAGGACTAATAGTTGGGAAATTATGAGCGCAATGAGGCAGCCAAGAGTCTCTTTCCCAGTTCAGCGAACAGAGTGCCCTGCCCCAGCACCTGTGCTCCATGAGCCCAGCTAACAGTCACATTTACCAGGTCTTCCTGTCCCCTGGTGACTTAGAATAGGCTCCAGCATTCCTGCCAAGCGATAAGCCAGTGGGCGTCCTGCCTGCCTGTCCCATGCTGGTCTTGAGAGATCTATTTCCCTTTGTTCTAGGTCATGTCAGAGTGTCAAAAGCTGCAGCTTCAAGCCTGAGTGTAATACAAGTTTGCCATAAAAACACAAGAGCAGATTCCCGAAGCCACGGAATGAAGGCTTTTACAATATCAATTCAACCCTTGTAAATTTAATCCGGGGTTATTTGTTGCACCCAAATCTCTTTACCGTGATGTATGACTTAGTTACTGGGGTTATCACAGCCATATCCTAAAGTTGCATAGTACATAAAACATTTCAGTTAACAATGCAGGGAGGTTAACTCCCCCAGATAACCTGCAATCACAAAGGCTAGTCCAGATGACATCCCTCTGTCAGCTCACAGGAGCTATTGATGGTTCAATCAGTTTGTTTTGAAGGAAAAGAACAACAAAAGGCCAGTAAACTTATTCAGACTGTCAACAGGGGCTATCGGGAATGGGACTTGCAGGTAAGTAATTCTGGGTGTTTTAAGGCTATTATCAAACAGCAATGGTTGAAGGAAGAGACAGCTACTAATAACACAGAAGGCAGCCATCATAAACCACTTTATGGCAGACCCCCCCTTGTCCATAAATCCTGTGACACCCGGAGGCA